GGGACTGCATTCCTTGAGGGCAGGGCCAATGTCTTCATCAGTGTTACATCCCCAGTTCCTGGCACAGATAGGTTGAGATAGGATAGATGGGTGAGGGATGGATGGATGCCTGGAAGCATGGACAGACACATGGATGGAAGGTAGAAAGAGTAGATGTGGGGCGCCTGGGTGGCTCAGTGGGTTAAGTCTCTTGCCTTCGGCTCAGGTCATGATCCCAGGGTCCTGGGATGGAGCCCCACATTGGGCTCTCTGCTCAGCAGGGAGCCTACTCTCCCCTTCCCCTCTGCCTGCCTCTCTGCCTACTTCTGATCTCTTTCTGTGTCAAATAAATAAATAAAATCTCAAAAAAAAAAAAACCAAAAAAGAAAGAAAGAAATAGTAGATGTAGGAAAGATGGTTGCTGGGGAAAGGATGAATGAACAAACAGATGGGCAAATGCAAGGAGAGAGGGACGGATGTGTGGATGGAAGGAGAGATGGATGATGGAAGCAAACCCAGATGGAAGGATAGAAACCCATTATGGGAGGCTGGCAGGGACAGACCGGCCCCCCACAGGTGCATGCTCTCTTGCAGGTGTCGGGGGCACACCGTTCCCCTCTCTGGCCCCGCCGATCACGCTGCTGGTGGATGGGAAACAGCAGACACTGGTGGTCTGCCTGGTCCTCGATGTTGCACCCCCAGGCTTTGGGGGCCCCATCTGGTTCTCCGCTGGCAATGGCAGCTCCCTGGACGCTTTCACCTATGGCCCTTCCCCAGAGGCTGACGGCACCTGGACGAGCTTGGCCCAGCTCTCTCTGCCCTCCGAGGAGCTGGCAGCCTGGGAAAACTTGGTCTGCCACACAGGGCCCGAGGCTGGCGACCGCAGCCAGAGCACACGGCCCCTACAGCTGTCAGGTGGGGACAGAGTCCGGGCCCCTGTGGATGCTCCCTGCCCCTCCCACACACTCTGGAAACAGGATATGCTGGAAGACAGGGCAGGATCCCATGGGGGCATGGTGGGTGTCCCTGTGCCAGCCCTCCAAATGAGGCAATGCCTGGGCTCAGAGCAGTGTGGCCTCAGGGCCCTGAGTCCTGGGTTTGCAACTCCTTCAAATATCCAGCCCCCAAATATCTCTTTCAAATCCAGGTTCTGAGGCATGACCTCCAAGAGTTAATTACACCGCCTCCCTCCTATTACCTTGGGTTGATATCTAGATTTATGTAGCTAAGGTTAATATCTATATCACCTTATCTATGACACCCGACCTAGCAGAACCAAATGACAATCAAATAACACAATGCTATCATCTACTTATTGACTACACTGTCCCAGGCACTGTTGGAAACACCTCATATTCATGAAGAAAATCATATTATTTTCCCAGTTTTACAGGCCAGAGATGTTTAAGGGATGTGTGCAAAGCCAGCTGTTATTATTACTAGATGACTGGCTTCCTGTTTTTGGATTATGGTAGTTCTGGCATCTTCCAAATGGGAATGTTTGTTGAATAAATGCCCTGCCTTTCAAAGAAGGCTGCTAAGAATCCAAGTCCTCGTCTAAAAGTGCTGAGAGACCTCAGCTTCCCTGAGGAGGGGGTGGGGGAGGGGACACAGAATAGAGGACAGTGGGGACAGAGAAAGATCTGAGCCTCTGAGGGGGCTCAGCTTTCCTGGTGCTTGTTCATTTGTCCATTTATGCAACTTGCCATGCGTGGCTGCCCCCTGCCAGGCCTGGGGCACAGAGCTTGGGTGGACAGCAAAGCCCATCCCAAAAGACTCATTCTCTTCCTCTTGGCTGCCAGGAGAGGCTTCCTCAGCCAGGACCTGCCTCTGGGAGCGTCTCAGGGGTGAGTACTGGGGACCAGGATCTTCAGCCTGTTTGGGTCTGGCATGATGGTCCCACTGGTGTTGGGTCGGGCGGGGTGGGAGGGGCTTGGTGGGTGGTTCCTGAAGAGGCTGCCTTGCTGGGTTGGGGCACTGACAAGCCTGGGCTTCAGTCTATCTACAGGTAGATGGGGGTGGATCCTATGACCCCAGACTAATTCCTGGCCACCAGTTGAAAAGCGTAGGCGACAGCTAACAGAGGGCTCTGTGAAGCTCTCCCCGGGCAGCCCAGATAGATGGTGTCAGCGTCAGAGCCCTGGGAGACCAGACCACCACCAGACAGAGTACTGAGTCCAGTTCTACTTCCGCACATAGAGAATAGGGGTCCGGTTACTCTCTGCGTCAGATGCTAATCCCTGCTTGGCCTGCATCCCCCTGGTTTTGGGAGAATAAAATAAAATGAAGGCTAGGAAGGAATGTGTTACTATTTCCAATTAGAGCTGAGGCTAGACACCAGGGAGGACTTTCCCAGGCTTTGGGGAACTGCGGGAAGGAGGAATGGCAGGGGCGGGGGGACAAGGCCCCTGCTCCCGGGAGAACTTTCTCGGGTGGGTGGGACTGAAGCCGGCCTCTGGCCCTAACCGCTCATCTCCGTCCCCGCAGGGACGCGGGGCCAGGCCCTGCGGCTGGGGGCGCTGCGACTGCTGCTCTTCAAGCTGCTGCTGTTGGACGTGCTCCTGACCTGCAGCAGCCTCCGCGCCCCGCCTTCCGCCCTGGGGGACCCCGGGCTCCCCGCGCCCCCCACCTGCCCGCAGGCGCCCGGCGGTCTCCCGCAGCCTCCGCCCGCCGGCGGGCCCTCAGCCCCCACCGCCTGGATTGGCAGCTGTGCTGGAGGGGCCACCGGCCCCGGGCTCGCCGTGCCCACCCCGCTGGCGCCGCAGCCCCGCCGTTCTGGCCAGGAGCCCCCCCAGAGCTCAGGCTGGAAGGAGGGGACGCTCTCTACCCATCGAGCTTGGGCCCGGTGCTCATGAGCCTCCCCGAAATTCCTTCCTTAAGGCTTGCAGTATTTGTATGTGACCTGCCTTCTCCTGCAGATGGAAGTTTCCGGGGCAGGGCTCTGTCTCTTGTCCCAGACTGAGGCCTTCTCAGGGAGGAGGGTGGTGTGCCACAGGTGTTGAGACATTTGAGGGGCAGAGAACTGAGAACAATTAAAGGAGAAAGTAAATGACACAAATGAAACACCTGAATTCATGTCTGCCCTGGGAGGAGGGAATCTGGCAAATTTTGAAAAGCCAGAAATCTGGGAAGTTTTCCTTGAGGAAGAGGGCTTCCTGAGGGTGAGACTCTAGAACTGCAAAGTGATGCCAGGGTTTGGGGAGGACGCTGTCCTACCTCTGTTTCCTCCCACAGCCAGGCATGAGAAGAGGCCTCCACTCTGTCTCCTCAACCTGGCCCAGCCTCTGTGAGAGGTCAGGGCGAGGAGCCCAGGAAGCCAGGAAGGTGGGGTGCTGGGCTCCACATGAAGTTTTGTACAGACTTGACAGAAAAGAACAGGGCCAGGACCCCAGGGTAGCAGGATCATGTACAATGCCAAGAGCATGGATGTTAATTCCAAACTTACACCTTATTAATCAATTAAGGGTCATTATTCATTTAACAAATATTCATTGAGCATCAGGCCTGAGTCAGGCACTAAAGAAATTTTGTTTTGTTTCTTTTCTTTTTTTTTTTTAAGATTTTATTTATTTATTTGAGAGAGAGAGCAAGTAAGAGAGAGCATGAGAGGGGAGAAGGTCAGAGGGAGAAGCAGACTCCTCGAGGAGCTGGGAGCCCAATGCAGGACTCCATCCCAGGACTCCGGGATCATGACCTGACCCGAAGGAAGTTGCTTAACCAACTGAGCCACCCAGGTGCCCTGTTTCTTTCTTCCTTTTTTAAAAGATTTTTATTTATTTGACAGAGAGATAGAGAGACAGCAAGAGAGGGAACACAAGCAGGGCAAGTGGGAGAGGGACAAGCAGGCTCTCCACTGAGCAGGGAGCCTGATGGAGGGCTCGATCCCAGGATTCCCGGATCACGACCTGAGCCGAAGGCAGATGCTTAAAGACTGAGCCACACACACGCCCTTGTTTTGTTTCCTGAAAAGGGCTCTTGCGCTGAGAATATATAAGGCCCCCAGAGTAGAGTGTGTGGCCTGTTTCTCCAGCACTGGCAGGAGATCCAGGCTTTCCAGGGGTTTCCCTCTCCAGTAATAACCCCTAGGAATCTTGGGAGCTTTCACCTGAACCTAGGTGTCCCCTGGGCAGAACAGGACAGTTGGCTGGACCAGTGGTTCTACCTTAGTCTTCTTTCCCCCAAGGTGGTGATAGCAAACCATGCTCTAACAGCTCAGGGGCAGTCTAAGCAGCCCCAAGGACCCAGAAAGTCCTCCTCTTGATGATACAGCAGATGGGGCCCTACCGAGCATCTCCTCGTGTCAGGCACCCTGTTATTGCTGGGGAGATTCAATCGTATTGGAAGGGAAATACAATCGTTCATTAGCCAAATCTTTGCTTTGCGGAGGAAGGGAGAAAGGCAGGAAGGAGGGTAGAAGAAAAGAAACTGAGGCTCAGAAAGGAGGCGACTTGTTCTAGCTCTCAGGAGACCAATCTGGGATTACTTGGCACTAAGACAGTTTGAAGACTGGGGACTGTGCGTAGCCAAGGTCTCACCCGCAGCGCCTGCTAGTGATTAGCAATTACAACAATAACAACAACGATAATAACAAAATTTAAAAGCAGGTGCTTAATTAGTATTTGCTGCATTACGACCCCAGGAGTGAAGTGACGCGCAAGGAGGCGGAGAAGGCCGAGAAGACTGCCTTCCGCACCTCTACCAGGATGCAAGAGTCGGACCTCCCATTCAAGGGCCAGACCGCTGCTTCCCGCCTCCGCGTCCTAGTCCTCCAGGCCCTCCCAGAACATCCGTTAGTGGCTGGGGAAAGATGCTGCCATAGGTCACTGAGGACACCATGAGCTCTCTCATTGGTCGAAACTGAAAAAAGATCGCCCTCCCATTCGCTGTAGGGCAATCCCCGGAAAGCCCATTGGCTGCGTCGTCCGCGGGCCTTCCTGGGCTCTGGGGGCGGGCCGAGGTGGCCGGAGGCAGCAGCGGGTGGGGGCGGGGGGCTCCCTGTTGCCCTGGTTACGCCGAGGCACGTGTGCAGTCCCGGAAGCGGCTGCGGGAAGCTGCCCAGCGCGCGCCGCGGGAGGAAGCGCAGCCGGGTCCGCTGGGGTCGGGTCCGGCTGGACCATGGAGCCGTTGCCTGAGCTCGCGCCCCGGCCCGGGCCCCGCTGTCTTCTGCTTCTCTCCCTGCTACTGTTGCTGCTGCTGCTACTGCCGGCCTCGGAGCTGGGCCCCGGCTCGGCGCACGCCGAGGAGACCGACTGGGTTCGACTTCCCAGCAAATGCGAAGGTGAGGGGGCGGGGCCCGCGGGGAGAATCCCGCCAGAGAGGCGGGGCGTGCGGAGTGGCGGGGAGGGGGCGGATGGAAGGGCCTTGGCTCCCTGAGCAGGAGGATCCTCTTCATTCACTGAAGCTACTATGTGCCTGGCACTGTGCTGGACGCTGGGGACGCGGGGGGCGGGGCAAGAGATCAGGTCTCGGGTCACCTGGAGCTCTCAAGCCCGTGCAGAAGAAGCAGTTACGATCCAGGCATCTAATCTAGCCTGGGGCGGGGTGGGGGGAGGCTGTGTGCAGAGGGAAGTCAGGAATTCGTACCGGAGGACCAAACAGTAATTAGGAGTTAGCTAGGCGAAGAGACATGAAAAGAGGGAGTCTCTCAGGAAACCGCAGATGCAGAGGCCTACAGGCTAAGAAGCAAAGGGCAAGTTTGAGGAACTGAAAAGGTCCGTATGACTATCCTTAGGAAGGGCCCTCACCACAAGCTCTCTGTGTAATTGATAGACTCCACCACTAGCGTTAAGCTCCTCGAGGACAGGGACCTTGTCTCAGATATTTATTCACACAGTGCCTGGTGGGCATCCAGGGAATATTTTTGAAATAAAGACAAACACGTGGGGGCTGCGGGTGGGTGTGGAGGAAGGAGAAGGGTCTGAGGCCTATGGGTAGAAAAATAGGGCCACTTTGGGATAAGAGTAGATCTAGCCTGGGAGAATTTGGTGAGGGAGGAGGATTTTAGGAATCAGGAGAAAGTGTATCCCAAAGATACAGGGATGGAGGCATAGAACTTCAGAGAGAGAAAAAGACCACCAGCACCCAAACCAGTGATGCAGGACTATGAATGGGCTACCTTTTCTCCCGCACCCCGCACGCCCCCCCCCCCCCGCCGCCATCCCCGCACCTCCCCTACCGGCACACCATTTCTTTTTTCTACCCCAACCTTCACAGTCACTCCTTCCTTGCCATTTCTATAACCCCAGACCCCTCCGAAAGATGGCTATAAATCCGTTTCATCCCAGTTCAGAGCGTACAGCAGGCCAGATGTTCCCTAAGCACTGGGAAGTGGGGATGGGGTGGATTGGGACACATAATCCTTTCATTTGAGAGATGAAAGATGAAATGAGCCGACTTCACTGGGAGGGCTCACAGTGTGGGTTCTAGCCTGTACCTTGTCCATCTCTTCCATAAATAGGAAGGTAGAGAGTTGGGATGCTTTCCTTTCACTCTTGCTCTAGTCCTAACCTATATGGTATGGTTTGGGGGTTTCACTTCCTCTCTTTGTTTTCTATTCTCATAGCCTGAGGACCTCACATTTCTTTCCCTTAGGAGGCATTCACAGATTGAGAAGCACAGAGCTGGCAAACATCTTAGAGATAATTCTAGTCCAGCCTCATTTTGTAGGTAATAGATAAAGAATATTTTCTTTTATTTTTTTAAAGATTTTATTTATTTATTTATTTATTTGTCAGAGAGAGAGAGGGCACAAGCAGGTTGCAGGGGAGAGGGAGGGAGGCAGAGGTAGAAGCAGGCTCCCCGCTGAGCAGGGAGCTGATTGGGGACTCAATCCCAGGATGCTGGGATCATGACCTGAGCTGAACACAGACGCTTAACTGACTGAGCCACCCAAGACATCCCGATAAAGATTAATTTTAAAGGGATTTTCAGTTATAGGATGGCTTGGCAAACTCTTAGGCTCTTCTTAATAGTGTATTTGCTCTTATTTATCATTGTTGTACCTTTATTATTAAATGCTGACTGTGTCTGGTCCACAAAGCCTGCCTCCTGGCTCTAAAGCCTGAGTAAAATAGGCCTTGGCACAGAGGAAGGAGGACCTGCCTGGAAAAAGAGTAGGTGGGTATCCATGAGAGTCTGGGGTCTGTGCCATGAGTCTCCTCCAAGTCTAGTTCTGGGTGGGATCCCCAGAGGGAGTCTTGAAGAGGTAAGGTTTGGAAGAGTTGTGAAGCAGGGTTGTGGTTGATGGGCACAAGAGAGAAAGGAGGTTCCAGCTCCCCAGGGCCTGGAATCCTACACATTGAGGGCGTGGGAGAAGGGGGCAAAAGCCAGAAAGATGATGAGCTTACCCAGAGTGCAGAACAGAGATGGGGAGGGGGACAGGTGTTCCTGTCTAGAGAGCCAGGGAGGTGAACCACCTCAATTCGTGGCAGACTCTGAGGTCACGTGGAATTTTTCATGTGTTCCAAGTTCTCTAAGCCATCTATTAAATGTGTATGTTATAAAATTTTACCAAGCAAGCCTTCAGGGGATGGTTTTGTTTTTGTTTTTTGGTTCTGGGGGGCTTTTTTGATGGTAAATTGGTCTTCTACCAAATTCTGCTGTCAGCATTATAACAATACTAATGGTATTTAGCCTACAGATCATATTTGTTCGGAGGCATCAGAAGCTGCTCCACCACAAACACAGTCTCTTGGCAGTATTTAAGTATCTAACACAGAGTCCCAGACTAGAGGAATACAGAAGAAGTCCAATACGTGATACTCACTTTGTGTACCCTTATAGTTGGGGAGACACAAAGTGACCAAGAGCTCTTAGAACATGGATCCTGTAGAGACCCAGATGAAATCAGAACAGGTCGGGGGAGGGCCCAGAAGAGCTTTGCAGAAGGAAGAGGCTTTATTTATTTTTTTAGAAGATTTTATTTATTTGAGAGAGAGAGCCATTGAGAAAATGAGTAGGTGGAGGGGCAGAGGGAGAACCAGTGCCCCAGGAGGAGGTTTTTATTTTATTTATTTATTTTAAAGATTTTATTTATTTATTTGAGAGAGCGAGAGAGCATGAGGAGGGAAAGGTCAGAGGGAGAAGCAGACTCCCTGCAGAGCAAGGAGCCCAATGCAGGACTTGATCCTGGGACTTCAGGATCATGACCTGAGCCAAAGGCAGTCGCTTAACCAACTGAGCCACCCAGGTGCCCCAGGAGGATGTTTTTTAAAGTGAGGTTGTGGGACACCTGGGTGGCTCAGTCAGTTGAGCGTCTGCCTTTGGGTCAGGTCCTGATCTTAGGATCCTGGGATTGTCCCCTGTGTCAGCCTCCCCACTGAGCTGGGAGTCTGCTTCTCCTCTCTCCCGCCCCCCACCTCGTGCTCTGTTTCCTCTCTTTTTCTCAAATAAATAAATAAAAATATTAAAAAAAAAATAAAGTGAGGTTGTAGGGCACTGGGTGCCTCAGTTGGTTAAGCAGCCAACTCTTGGTTTCAGCTCAGGTCCTGATCTCAGGGTCATGAGATTGAGCCCTGAGCTCCGAGTTTGAGCCCCACATCAGGCTCTGGACTCAGTCTACTTGAGATTCTCTGCCCCTCCCTCCCTCCCTACCCCTGCTCATGCTTTTTCTCTCTGTCTCTCACTCTCTCTCAAATAAATAAAATCTTTAAAAAATAATAATAAAAGTGAGGCTGGGAGAATGGGTAGAAAAGCCCATAGAAGGCATGAAGCACTCTCCCAGGGCCTTGGGCAAATCTCACTTTCAGTAGCAACACTCCTTACGCACAGCGATAACTCCATTGGACTGTATGTAGCAGGGAGGAACCTGTTTTCAGCTGTGAATCCCCAGACAGTGCCTGGCACACAGGGGTTGCTTAGTAACTGAGGAAGAGTAAGAGGAAACGAGAGGATGAATGTAACAGAGCTGGTGGGAGCAAGGCCTTTGGAGGGGATGGAGCAGATGACCTTGGTAGGCGCAGAGCGGTGGTGCCAGAACAGCATATGAAATCAAGTCATAAAGCAGGCAGACCGCACATTTGGGGACAATGGGGGAAATTTGAATACGGACTGAGTATTAGGCGATATGGGAATTATTGTTCATTTTCCGAGGATTAGTATGTTTTTATGGTTGGTAGAAGAAAATCCCTGTTCTCCAGAGTTGTGTGAGGACATTTTGAGGGGTGAAAGGTCATGTTGTCTGCGACTTACTTTCAGAATGGTTTAGCAAAAACAGTGTATATGCTGTTGAACTATATTACTGTATTATCCTGCTATTTTATATCTTATACTGGAGAGAGATTGGGGCAGATCACGAACAAACTGTTGAAATGAGTGGAAGGTGTATAATTACTCGTACTTATTCAGCTTTTTTATATATTTGAAAATGTAAAATGATTACAGGGGGTGGGGGGGCAGGAAGCAACTGGGAAAAATGGAGTCAGTAGGATAAGGGCCGGGACTGGACAGGGAGCAGCGAATCTTGGAGCCAAGTGTCACCCAGTGACCTCCACATGGTGGTCTGGGGCTAACTCCTTCCCTGCCCTGAGTGATCCCGTCTGGAGAGGCACCCACCGTGGCATATCTGGCTGGGAGCTGGCTCCCTCCTGTCAGACTCACATAGGCTCAGTGGGCTGTGCTGTGTCTCCCGCCCCCAGTGTGTAAATATGTTGCCGTGGAGCTGAAGTCCGCTTTTGAGGAGACAGGCAAGACCAAGGAGGTGATCGACACAGGCTATGGCATCCTGGATCGGAAGGCTTCCGGCGTCAAATACACCAAGTCGTAAGTGAAGGGGGGGTACCCACTGGCCTGGACTACTTTGTTCCTAGAGGTTTCGGTGGCATGGAATTCCCTCTCCCTCCCAGCCAGGCAAACCCACCAAAGGGAGGCAGTTCTCACCAACACCTGAGTTTGCCCGCTGGTTTTACCCCAACTAATTGTGGGATCTTCATAAATCCCTTCCTTCCACTGAGCCTCAGACTTGTCAAAGACTCTGTCAAAGCAAGATGGTTCGACCTTATCTCATCCCAGACTCTTGGATTTCATGGGCCAATGCAATTTAAAAAAAAAAAAAATGGATAACATAGGATTACCCACTTTTAATTTTACCAGGAATAAATATTAAAAATAAGCCCCCAAAAAACCTTCATCAGCCATGATCATCCTTTCAAAATAAAATATTTTGACATCAAAATTTAATACATTTTGCCTTAGAAAAACATCTAAATATTGAATCATTTTGCTTTATAAAGGATGCCTTCCCATAGAGCTGTTACATTTTGTCTCTCTGGTCTGTGTTCCAGCATTTCAGAGCCCCCAGACCAGATGACCTATCTTCCTTCCAGCTCTGACTTCCCTTTGGTGAGATGCACAGGTGTTGGGGTATCAGGGCTGGAGGGACGGACCACTAACCTGCTGGGGCTGGGAGAGGAGCTCAGTCCCTCTTGTGCTCCTGTCTCTGCAGGGACTTACGCTTAATCGAAGTCACTGAGACCATCTGCAAGAGGCTCCTGGACTACAGCCTGCACAAGGAGAGGACCGGCAGCAACCGGTTTGCCAAGGTTGGATTTGTGCTTGTCCTTCCCCACGGGGCAAGGCCTTGCATGTATCTAAGTGGTCTGTTGGTGTGGCTGTGACTTGAAGATCCTGGTTAGGGAGCTTCCGTCCTTGGCCTTGTCCCTATCTTTATCGACTGCTGTTTGCATTTCTCGCCTCCTGAGTGCCCTGACTTTCCAGTGGCAATAGGTACCTTTTTTTTTTTTTTTTTAAGATTTTATTTATTTATTTGACAGAAACATAGCATAGCGAGAGAGGGAACACAAGCAGGGGGTACCAGGAGAGGGAGAAGCAGGCCTCCAGCCAGGCAGAGAGCCCAACGTGGGGCTTGATCTCAAGGTCCCGGGATCATGACCTGAGCTGAAGGCAGATGCCCAATGACTGAGCCACCCAGGTGCCAGTGAGCTGGGCCATCTAGGCCCTCCCTCACCCTCCCCATCCGAAATGCAACACCCCCCACCCTCTACCTGGGGAGGCCTGACCACTGACTCAGGGAGAGCTCAGAGTGCAGTGCTATGGGGTTTAGAGGAGATGTCAGAAGACACAGCAGGGTTGAGGGTGGCAATGATCACCTTATCCCTTTAGGCCCACAGGGCACTCACCTGGACCTCTGTCAGGGTTCCTGTGTGACATTTAATGCACTTACTTGGTGCACAAATGCCTCTGTCCCTGAAGAATGAGCACAAGGCCCACAGTTCTTTGCTTCAACATTTTCAGTGCCAGGCCCGTATGGTAAGAGACTTGCCTCACATAGTTCTCTACCTAAGTGCCCTTCTCGCAGAGTCGTTTAGTTAGAAATCCCTGGGGAACCTAGAGGGATAGTCTTAAGCAGCAGAAATCTTAGACTTTATCTTTAAGATTTAGGGGCACCTGGGTAGCTTAGCTGGTTAAGTGGCTGACTCCTTTTTTTAATTTTTAAATTTTTTTTTAAGATTTATTCATTTGAGAGAGAGAGCACAAAGGCATGTGCGCACTGGAGGGAGGGAGAGGGAGAAGTCTCAAGCAGACTCTGCTGAGTACAGAGCCTGATGCCAAGCTCGATCTCACAACCCTAATATGACCCGAGCCAAGACCAAGAGGTGGACACCCAACTGACTTTCACCCAAGCATCTGACTCTTGATCTCAGCTCAGGTCTTGATCTCAGGGTTGTGAGCTCAAGCCCTGCATTGGGCTCCATGCTGGGAGTGGAGCCTCTTTAAAAAATAAAAAAATAAAATAAAGGGGACCTGGGAGGCTCAGTCAGTTAAGTGTCTGCCTTAGGTCCAGGTCATGATCCCAGAGTCCTGGGATTGAGTCCATATCAGGCTTCTTGTTCAGCTGGGAGTGTGCTGCTCCCTCTGCCTCTGCCTGCCACTCCCCTTGCTCATTCTGTCTCTCTGACAAGTAAATAAAATATTTTAAAAATAAAATTTGTACAAATTTTGTACTCTGTTTAATAATAAATCCGTGTTTTGCTTTAATATAAAAATGTTTAAAACTGTTGTCTACAGCAATAAAGTTAGAAACACTCTACTCATTCACTGGTGGCTAAATAAATTGATACGGCCATTTGGTGGACAAAACAAAGAATGAGGTTGGCTCTTTATGAGTTGAATTCATACTGTCTCCAAGGTCTGTTAGTCAGTAAAAAAGGCAAAGGACAGAATAGTGTGGCTGACACCTACTGCCACTTGTATAAGAGGTGGGGGCAAGAGAGGACGATACATTTGTATGTGGATTTGCTTGTATTTGCATGCATCGCCTCTGGAAAGAAAGAGGAAGTGGACAGTGTACAGATGGAGTCTCTGGGGAGAAGACCTAGGTAGCTGGCAGAAATATTTTTGCAGAACCAGGAGTCCTCACTGCCTCACCTGCCCCCTTCTGACCCAGGAAAGACACAAGCCCCAGGAAGAAGCCAGAGTAGTCAGTGGGTCTAGACATGAGGGAGTGTTCCTGGGCACAGTGAGGGGAAAGAGTCAGGACACACTTAATTCCTGGAAAAGGAGTATCCATTCAAAGGGCCTGAAGGCAAACAGCAGTCCTTTTTGGAAGGTTGAGGTGTGGGGAGCCATGGTGTGTGTGTGTGTGTGTGTGTGTGTGTGTGTGTGTGTGTGTGTGTGTAGGTGTGTGTGTGTGTGTAGGTGTGTAGGGGTTGTGGGGGGCAGGCCTGAAAGAGGGGAGAGGAAGGTGAAGTCAAGTATGAGAAGCCTTGGAGGGCCCTGACTCAGAGCTGGCTGGTCGGGCTTCTGGCACTAACCGGAGAGGAGGGTGGGGGTGGAGAACGCTCTAAGCCACTCAGACCCACTGCCTCTTCCAGGGCATGTCTGAGACCTTTGAGACACTGCACAACCTCGTCCACAAAGGGGTCAAGGTGGTGATGGACATCCCCTACGAGCTGTGGAATGAGACCTCTGCAGAGGTGGCTGACCTCAAGAAGCAGGTACGGGCCTCTCAGCCCTCAGAGGCTATCCTGCCTCACAGGGGAGTGTGGGGACCAAGTCTGTGGCTGAGGAAGGCCCCCAAGAGTTGAGGGCGTGGGGTGGGGGGCTTTGGTCAAGTTGTCTTATCTCTCCAGCTTCAGTTTTCTCAGGGGAATCACAGCCACCTGCCTGGCCTGCGGTGGGTTGTGAGACTCAGCTGAGCTCCCCCGGGAGCTTGTCAGTGCTGGGGCTTTGCCAATGCACCATGTTGTGATTCGTAGTGCGACGTGCTGGTGGAAGAGTTTGAGGAGGTGATCGAGGACTGGTACAGGAACCACCAGGAGGAAGACCTGACTCAGTTCCTCTGTGCCAATCACGTGCTGAAGGGCAAGGACACCAGTGAGTGTGATGGCGGGAGAGGGCAGGGCGCTGTACCCTCCGTTTTACCGCTCGCTCCCCCTCGGGGAGGTGGGTATGAGGACGGAAGAGAAATATGAAATAGAAGGCGTCCTCGCAGCTCTGCCCTTGGGGAGTTTGAGGGGACAGGGTGGAATAAGAGGTACTGAAAGCAGGTGCAGAACCACAGGAAGGGGACGCAGATACCCCTCCAGGGCCTCAGTGAGGCAGGCAGCAGGGACTCGCCGCGAGGTGCCAGTTCCGCGTCCCCGCCCCCACCCTCATCCCCCCTGTCCGTCAGTGCTCTGCTCCCAGCAAACCAATCCGTCGCGGGTGTCTCTCTTCACCCCAGGTTGCCTGGCAGAGCAGTGGTCCGGCAAGAAGGGGGACACAGCCGCCCTGGGAGGGAAGAAGTCTAAAAAGAAGAGCAGCAGGGTCAAGGCATCGGGCGGCGGCAGCAAACAGAGGAAGGAGCTAGGTGGCCTGGAGGAAGACCCCAGCCCTGATGAGGATGAGGGCATCCAGAAGGCGTCCCCTCTCACACACAGCCCCCCGGATGAGCTTTGAGCCTAACCCAGTGCCCCCTGACCTGGAACCTGAGGAATCCGGGACCCCGTTCTGGCTGGCGGACAGCTGTCCTGTTCCAGGTCCTCCCTGCCAGGTGGCTTGCCACCAGGAAAGACACGGGGCCAGGGAAGAACTCGCCTCCTCCCTCCGCCAAGCGGCTCTCCTGACCCCAGCTTCGGGCAGGCCCTTCGATTTCCTGCCTGCGGGGGACTCCGGTGTGAACTCCGGAGGGGCAGGTGTGGGGCCCATGGGGAGGGCACCCCAGCCTTCACCTCCCCTTCCTCCTCCCTGACCGGGAAGCAAGACTACAGGCCACCCCACCCCTGCTGTCCCCTCCTGTGGACACCTGGCACTCTGCCCAGCCCTCCCCAGGGCTCACAGAGTAAAAACCCTTTGGCCTTTTTTGTTCCAATTTTTGAGTCCCCTCCAGCTCCTCAGAGGGGCCTGGAGCCCTTGTTGCTCTTTCTTGCCCCTTACCTTCCAGCCTTGGGGGGCTGAGGACGAAGAGGCAGCTCCCATCCTCCCATCACTGAGGCTGGCCTGTCTCTCTGGGGAACGGCAAGTGCAGGGAGGCCCGGGTTGTTTTGAGACGTGGCCCAGCACAAGGCTTTGGACTGCTTCTCAGCTGCCCACTCAGCTGCCTTGGACTCCCTGAGCTCCCCAGGCCAGGAGAGGCCTCACTTGTGCCCTGGGCACCTGGCTGCCTTCCATCCTCTCCTCTCTCCTGGAAGGCCTTCCCATTTGTTGTGTAAACTGTTTACTGATGACCCCACCAGATCCCGCCCTCCTTCCCATCTCCATCTGCTCTACTTGTTGATCTTGAACCTTGTTCCCTGATGACCACAACTTAGCACTCCGCTCTTTCTAATTGTTGTGCCCGGAGGGGAGGACACTCCAGTCCCCCAATGCAGGTTCCAGCATGTTCTCTGGGAGCAGGGAGGAACAGGAAGCCTGGCCTCAGGGAGAAGTTGCAGGAGGCCCAGGTACCTCCCCATTCTGCCCCGAGGGCAGGGATCAGGGTGCTCCATAACAGTGGTAATGACAACTGTACACGCTCCCTGGGCTTTATTGTGAACCCATACAACTCCTGTGGGGTGGGTGCCATTAGCCTCATTTGGTAGAAGGCAAAACTGAGGCTTAAGTGAAGTGACACGCCTGAAGTCCTACTGTTAAGTGTACCCGGGGCACTCAGGATTCAGCCTCTGGGTCCGTTGTTTCCACTACCCCATGGCTGCCACCTGGTACTGGCAGTGTGACCCACATTAAACTGGTTTGGCTTCTTAGCCACAACTCCACCCCTACCAGTAAACCTCTTCCCAAAGTAAAGGAGGAAGGAGCTATGGCTTCTTAGAAGGAGACAGTGGCAGGAGGTCCTGCCAGCACCATGCCCCCACCTGGCCCCCAGGGATCACCCCTGCAGACCCCTTCATGCTTCTGGCCTGGGCCTAGTGGAGCACCCCAGACCCCGACTCCAGGGAAATGCTCCAGGGTCTGAACTAACTGGGGGTGAGGGGCGCTCTTGTAGCCTGGGCTCAGGCCTTCTGTGAGGTGGGACAGCCAGGGCCAGAGAGGGTGGAGCAAACTGGGAGCTGTTTTCCTCTGGTTGGTGAGGCTTTCGAAAGGTCCCTGGAGTATCATTCCTCTTGAGTTTAGCCCCACTGCCCCCACCTTCCCCTGTTGAAGGCTCTGTGGGCCGTGAGATTCCAGTCAGAGACTCAGGTCCTGCCCTGGACTCTGGGGGCTGGAGCTCAGGGCTGGGGAACTGTTTGCAGCCCCATGGACTGTAGGATTTTGTGGCTAGTCTCTGATACCCATGTTCTGTCTTTAACACACTGCACTTGAGTGCCTGGCTTATGTACATACCCAGAGCTTCACTGGTCCCTAAAGTAGGATAAGACAAAGACCTATCCCTTTGCTGGGGTGTAGGCCTAGTGGCCCAATCGAGGCCTGGTCCCAGACCAGAGGGCAGATGGTGCTGTGACTGCTTTGCTCTTTGACCTGTGGCTGCTGTGGATAGCACCTTCCTCTCCCTACCCCCCAAAGGGCCGGGTGTGTTGCACACACACTGCTTTCCACCCACCTACCCCAGCAGGCAACCGCCTCCCTGGCCCAGCCTGGAAGAGCCAGAGGCGAGATCCAGCTCCCCAGGTTTTTCTTTTCCTCTTCCCACCGCACATCCAGACCTTTCCAGACCTGCCTACTGCCTCCTGCTCTCCCACACCCCATCTCTCCATGAGATGAGGGAGGGGTCTGGCTGAGCTCAGGTTAACCAGATTTTAGTCCCCTTATTGGAAATCCTGTTAGAACAGGGTTTCTTAAACTCACTTGAACATGAGTGTCACATGGAATGCCTGTTAAGCAGACAGATGTCTGGGCCCATCTCAGATTTGGTGGCTTAGGGACCTGCTTGTCTAATAAAGCTGTTAAGATGAGGTCAGCTGGAGCCCACTCCAGCAGGAGGAGCACAGGGTGTTGTGAAAAGAGCGGGCAGCAGGACCTCCATGAAGTCAATGTCAGGGTCTTGTTCTCAGAGGCACAGCCTGTCAGAATCCAGAGAGGATCAGTCTGTGCCAGAAACTTCCATCATCCAGAACCGCAAAGGCTGATGAACCAACTAGAAAGCCAGTTTCTGGGAGTGAAGTCTCAGGGGCAGCTGCCCAGGGACTTTGTGTTCATTTTATTTATTTTTTAGTTTATTTTTAGAGAGGGAAAGAGAATCTTGAGCAGGCCCCTCTCCCTGTGCGGAGCCCAACGAGGGGCTCAATCCTGCAGCCCTGAGATAATGATCTGAGTGGAAAGCTTAACCGACTGCGCCACCCAGGCCTTCCTCTGTATTCATTTTAAAGGGCAATTACTAGAAAGCGGTATCCTCTGTTTCCCAGTTTCTGGATGTGATTCCCACGCGGTATCTTTTTTGTGAGTTAGAAGACAGTGCTCTTCACACCTTTGACTTCCATCTGTTAGAAAGTCATGTATTTAATATAAACCTTATGAGGATAAGACACTTGGCCGCCAGAACATAATAATAAATTGGCAAACCCATGCTATTTGCAATAGGAATGACAGCCCCTCAGATCCGGAATCTTTGTGCAGCACACAGCTGGCCACGTGTCCCTAACGGCCCTGCAGCCCGAGTTCACAAGAGCAAAATGCCTCTTCTATTTTTTTAAAAGATTTTATTTATTTGACAGAGAGACAACAAGAGAGGGAATACAAGCAGGGGGAGTGGGAGAGGGAGAAGCAGGCTCCCCACCAAGCAGGGAGCCCGATGTGAGGCTTGGTCCCAGGACTCGGATCATGATCTGAGCTGAAGGCAGCTGCTTAACTGACTGAGCCACCCAGGTACCCCCCCCCCACCTTTTTTGGCTTAAAGCCTGTTTTTTTTTTTTTTTTTGTGATAGATGCACAGTCCTCTCCTAACTGGTTGAGAGGAAGGCTCCGTGGGCTGCGCCTAGCAGCAGAGGCTGCTGAATCCCTCTTGAGCATCCCCTGATGGCCCATTTTGTTCTAAGGAGTTTTGTGGCAAGAATAGCAGGTGGTTTTTGAGTGTGGACCCTGCGACGAGCCCAGCTCTCTGTGCTTTACCTACTGATTTACCATAGCTATGGCCTGAAGCCCGGGGATTCCTAAAAACTACTGAGGTAAAGCACATACAGGAAACTGTACCTAAGTATACAGCTCATTGGTTTTTTTACAAACTGAATGCCCGAGTCACCAGCACCCAGCTCCTGAAAAACTTGATTACCAGTGCCCCCTCCCCACAGACACCTCTCCCACCACAGAAAGAACAGGGACTTTTGTCTGTTTTGTTCACTGTTCTATCCCCAGCACTTAGTCTAGTACCTGGCACAGAGTAGCTTCTTAGTAAGTAGCTGCTGAATGAATGAAGCACAGAAAGATTAAGTAACTTCCCTAAGGTCACATTCTGTAAGTGCCCCAAGCAGGGTATGAGCCCCTGGTGGACTGGCTTTGGTGGGTGGGAGAGAGCCACAGTGCCATAGCACCCTGCAGCTATGGGCCGGCTTGGGCACTAAACCCCCTTACATGGCTCTCTTCTAGAAACCAGGCAGCTACAGTCTTCAGAGTTCAATGTGGAGAATACAATTAGGAGGGAGATAACTTTCTTTTTTTTTCTTTGTTTAAGATTTTATTTATTTGACAGACATAGTGAGAGAGGGAACACGGCAGGGGGAGTGAAAGGGAAAAGGAGGCTTCCCGCTGAGCGGGGAGCACAAAGTGGGGCTCCATCCCAGAACCCTGGGATCATGACCTGAGCTAAAGGCCGACGCTTAACGGCTATACCACCCAGGTGCCCCAAGGAAGGTAACTTTCAAACCTTTCTCCCTTTTCAGAGTTTACAGTTGTGTGTGACTGAAAGCCAGCTTGACCCTCATGTTGCTCTCATGGCTGGCTTTTTTTTTTTTTTTTTTTTTTTTTAAAGTAATCTCTGCACCCAATGTGGAGCTCAAACTTACAACCCCAAGGTCAAGAGTCGCCGGCTCTGCTTACTGAGCCTGCCAGGGGCCCCTCGAGGGCTGGCTCCTGTTTAGTTTTTTGAAGAGGAACCCTAACTTATTCATTCTTTAAAATTGTATTCTCCATCTACTAAGGTTGTCCCAGCCAACAGAACTTAAACTTCTGTGAAAATGATTGTGATTCTTTATAAGGAGGTGTTGTTGCACATCGAGAAGGGAGAGAAGCAGGCTGAGCCCATTACCAATTCCAGGGATGGCAACACCTATCACCACCACCACCCCTAAATATATATAAATATGTAAAAGGTTCTCTGTTCAAAAAGAAGAGAAACAAAAAAGACAAGGGACACCCAGGTGGCTCAGTTGGTTAAGCCTCCGACTCTTGATCTCAGCTCAGGTCTTGATCTCAGGGTCATGAGTTCAAGCCCCATGTTGGGCTCCATGCTGGGCATGGAGCCAACTTTAAAAACAAACAAAACACTCAAAAAGCCAAATTTTTATTTTGTTAGGAATTACTTACTGAAGTGGTCTTGGTATCTTACCATTCATCACATCAAGACAGGATGGCATGTGCTAAGTCAGTTGTTTGAGTAAGCAATGCTTACTTAGCCTGTTACCAGGGCTCAAATAGTGTGTCATTTTTTGGTGGAAGAAGAGCTCAGTGAGCAGATTGGTTTGCACTGAAGAGGTCTTATTGGACTTTAGCACACCTTAAAATTGCTTATAACAAAGCATGAAATGGTCAAAGAAAACCTCTCTTCTTAAACATTTGTGGAATCCTTGCAGGTGCCCTAAGTTTAATGGTAAAGGAGCGACCTTTCATTAGTGTGGCAATCCACCAATGTACAGATCAATTTTACACTCACTTAACAGGACTTTATTAAAGCAAATTAGGTCTTATATGGTATATTAAAAAGTCCAAAGAGGAATCCACCATGATCTATCTGTTAGCAGAGTCCATGTGGGTGGGTGGCTTCCATCCCCTCCCCTCCCCCAGCGTCCTAGTGTGCAGTCTGGGGAGACCTAGCAGACAAGAGATTCCTTCCAGCAGCTTTGGACTGGAGTTTAGAAACTGGCATCCATCCTCTGAAAAATTTCTACCTCGTCCGAATCTAAACAACAGGATGCCCTTCACTTGTAGTTATTGTATGTGCATACTTCACAATTCTAGGATTTTAATGTGTCCTCAAGTTGGAATAGCCTGGGATTTGGTCTAGCTCCAGCCATAGTCCCAAGCTAAGGTTTTTTGGAAAACATCACACATTTGGGGATGAAGAATTTACTCTTCTCAACTAATCCAGGGAAGCACTGCATTTTAAAAATACCCTCTATTTTTGGGGTGCCTGGGTGGCTCAGTGGGTTAAAGCCTCTGCCTTTGGCTCAGGTCATGATCCCAGGGTCCTGGAATCGAGCCCTGCATTGGGCTCTCTGCTCGGTGGGGAGCGTGCTTTCTTCTCTGCCTGCCTCTCTGCCTACTTGTGATCTCTGTCTGTCAAATAAATAAATTAATTAATTTTTTAAAACCCCTCTGTTCTCATTTTCAGTTAAGTCAGACTGTAAATTGATTTAGAGTCTGTGATTGTCTCTTCCACAGCCCAACGCCTCACATTTAGTTTCTCTAAAATTCGCTGAACTAACAGAACAAGAGGCAGTTGCAGTATGCATCAGTGCACGGGGGGCATGACAATTTAGGGGTGCAGGACTGCAATTATTTGGTCTGTTTTGGTGGCAATTAAAGATTACAACATTTAGATAAAATTTTCTACCTTGTTAAATATCAAGGAATAACATCTTCATGTAGAGAAGAGTAGAAACATTTGTTTTGGGTAACAGTATCGATTAATAGAAAAATTCCATTTGGAAAATGATTTGATTGTAATTATCCAAGTGTTCACTCTCTTGAAAAATGTTAAATGTTCAGGATTTGGGGAATGATTAAACAAGTCACATCTACTCCATGTAGTCATTGAAAGCATGATTAAGGCCCGATAATTTAAGGTCAGGAGAAGAAAACATGCTTTTGATGGCTAAAAGTTAAAAAAGAAAAAAGGTACATGAAATGTCATGTGTCTTACTATGTTGACATTTTTTAATGCCTCTGGATGAGAAAGAAAGCAAATAATTATTACCTTTAGAACAAAAATCTTTTCTTTCAAATGGATGGGGTGCCTGGGTGACTCAGTCATTGTTAAGCGTCTGCCTTCGGCTCAGGTCATGATCCCAGGGTCCTGGGATTGAGCCCCACATCGGGCTCCCTGCTCCATAGGAAGCCTGCTTCTCCCTCTCCCACTCCCCCTGCTTGTGTTTTCTGTCTCTGTGCGTCTCTCTCTGTCAAATAAAATCTTAAAAAAACAAACAAAAAAAGTTGGAAAGTATACTTCAAGCTACTCAAAACCTTTATTTTTTTTTAGATCTAAATTTACCACTAGTATTCATATTGTTTTAAAAAATCATACTATAGGACGCCTGGGTGGCTCAGTCGTTAAGCATCTGTCTTCAGCTCAGGTCGTGATCCCAGGGTCCTGGGGTCTACATTGGGCTCTCTGCTCAGTGGAAAGCCTGCTTCTCCCTCTCTCTCACTCCCCCTGCCATGTTCCCTCTCTTGCTGTGTCTCTCTGTCCAAAAAAAACAAAAAAAACCCAAACTTTATAAAAAATCATATTATGGCTGTGTGGGTAAAAATATATGTTTCTTAAAAATTGTAAGCATCAATATTTAAATAAAAGATGACTATTTAAATACAATTCCTTATCAGAATGGAGAGTATGGCCTTTAGCCTCTAAAGGCTGCAAACCAATCACAAAAAAATGTTATGCAGGGGCGCCTGGGTGGCTCAGTGGGTTGAAGCCTCTGCCTTCAGAACAGGTCATGATCTCAGAGTCCTGGGATGGAGCCTGCACCTGGCTCTCTGCTCAGCAGGGAGCCTGCTCCCCCCTCCCTCTCTGCCTGCTTCTCTGCCTACTTGTGATCTCTCTTTGTCAAATAAATAAATAAAATCTTTTTTTTTTTTAAAGAAAGATTATGTAATCTTTGGGGTTCCTCTAGCTCCCAGATTCTACAGATAATGAAAGGGTGAGCATAGGGGAGCCACCTTCATTCTAAATTCCATACCTAGCTCTTTCTGAAGCCCAACAAAAGATAGCCGGGAAGGCTGTTCTTGCTGTCTTGGGCTTCACTGGGGGGCATCATATTGCTGAATCCACCTGAGTTTAGGGTCTTGTCCTAGAAAGAGATCTGCTTTGGGGAGAAGGGTAGATGTGCACCAACCAAGCCAAACGGCCAATTTATGAAGTGACAGCAAGCACTGTAACAGCAAGGGCACCAAGCTTTTCCACCCCTAACCCTGGACTTCCCACCCTGTGGGTACCTCTATCAAAAGCAGATAGTGTTTACAAAATTAAAACTTCTAGGGGCGCCTGGCTGGCTCAGTTGGTTGATCAGCGAACTCTTTTTTTTTTTTTTTTTTTAAGATTTTATTATTTGTCAGAGAGAGAGAGCTCGCACAAGCAGGCAGAGGCAGAGAGAGAAGCAGGCTCCCTGCCTGAAGTGAAGGCAGCAGCTTAACAGACTGAGCCTCCCAGGCGTCCCTCAGCGGCCAACTCTTGCTCTCAGGGTCATGACAAGCCAAGCGGCAGGTGGGGCTTTGTGCTCAGTGCGAGTCTGCTCAGCCCTCCGCCTTCTCTTGTTCTCCACCCACCGCCCCTCCCTGCACTCTGGCAGGCTCTCGCTCTCTAAAATAAGTGAATAGATAAAATCTTAAAACAAAAATTCAAAACTTTTAGGGGTGCCTGGGTGGCTCAGTCGGTTAAGTGCCGGACTCATGGTTTGGCTGGGGACATGATCTCAGGGGTTGTGAGATGGAGCCAGTTCCAGCTTTGCACTGGGCGTGGAACCGCCTAGAGATTCTCCCTCTCCCTCTGCCTGTCCCCCCCGTCTAAAAATTTTTAAAAATAACAGACTTTTAGGGGCACCTGGCTGGCTCAGTCACAGTAAAGCATGCTACTCTTGATCTCAGGATTGTGACTTTCACCCCCATGTTTGGTGCAGAGATTACTTAAAAATAAAATCTTTAAGAAAAAAATTAAGATTTTTATTTTTATGTTTATTATTCATTATTTAATTTTTTATTTTTTTATTTTATTTTTTGTGTGTGTGTGGTGATGGTGGGTTTCAAACAGTGGCCTCAAACAGCAAATTGTGCTTAGAAGGGTGCCAGTCAGTGAAGAATTGGGAGGAAAGGGCCGACCCCGCCTTAGCCGACTCAGGGGAAAGCTTAAGCGTTACCTCCACCGCAGATGAGCACCTGCCTCCAGGTGGGCCATGACCCGCTGGGCCAGAACTGCTCCGGGACTTGGGTGGCGGGACTAGCATTATCCCCAGATACTCCCTATTCCTCCCTTTCCTGGCTGACCCGGGCCTCCTTCAGCGGACAGTCCTTCTTTAGATATGCTAATATCTTCCTTCGCCGGGGACGGTCCAATCCGAGGCCCTGAACTCGGTGTGGACGGGCAAGTTTTCTTTCCTCTCTACCCAGTTTAGGTGGCGGTGGAGTGGGCGATCTCACCGCTGCCCCCCTGCTGGCCCCTCCCGGGTGCTCCAGAGGCCGGGCTTAAAGGGGGTGGGGCTGGGCGGGCCCTTTCCCGCCAAGGGGTCGCCGGGGGGACGGGATCTTCCCGCAGGCGAGAAGGGCTGGTTAGCCACGCCAGGTGGTGCCCTCCCCGGGGCGGCAAGCCCAGCAGGGGCGTGTCCCCGCGCTCACCTGCCATTGGGCAGGTGGGGCGGCCGGCCTCTGGCAGGGCCGGACTATATAAACGCGGAGCCGCGCCGGGCCAGGCGCGCCGCAGGATGGTGGACAGCGTGTACCGCACCCGCTCCCTGGGGGTGGCGGCCGAAGGGCTCCCGGACCAGTACGCGGACGGAGAGGCGGCGCGCGTGTGGCAGCTCTACATCGGGGACACCCGCAGCCGCACGGCCGAGTACAAGGCCTGGCTGCTCGGGCTGCTGCGCCAGCACGGCTGCCAGAGGGTGCTCGACGTGGCCTGCGGCACCGGGTGAGCCCGGGCGGGGGGCAGCGGGGGGCGGCGGGGGGACCTCGGCCAGGCTCGTCCGGCAGCCTCCTCTGGCGACCCGCAGCCAGGCTGGGACCGGCGGCGGGGTATAGCGGGCGGGAGGCGGGGCTGAGGGTGCCCAGGGTGCGAGGGGGGTGTGGGCACTGCAGGGTGGGGACTCAGGGTGGGGACTGCCGGGCGTCTCGGGGCGACCCGGCGACCGGGCTTTGGAGCTAGACCGGCGGAAGCTATCACGGGTGCTGGCTCTGGCATGGCTCCCCAGGGATGGCCTTGGGCAGTGTTAACAGTTAACATTCGTTCAATATTTGCCCGTGCCACGCACTGTGCCAGGAGCTGTCCACAGGTCCGCGTTTAAGGTCCTCACAAAACCTCATGGGCTAGGGAATGCTGTCCCGTTTACAGTGGCCAGAAACCTGCCTCAGAGGAGTGAAGGCCCTCTACCTAGCAGAGAGGAGATTCAGACCCGGGTGGGTCCGGGTCTGGCCGATGCTCCAAACCCCCAGGCTATACTACCTCCCCAGGCACGGGCCCTCAGTTTGCCCCATCTCTCAAGTGGGGCTAACACCAGCTACCTCACAGGGTTGCCAGGAGGATTAGTGCACACTGATAGGGTGCCTGGCTCTGGATGGGTGCTAAAAAAACAAAACAGGAAAGTTGCTACCTGGTGATAACGCACGGATGTGAGAAACCTCATTCGAGGTAGGTAGAGAGGGCCTGGGGAGACGAAGAAGAGGAGTGGAAGAAGACGAGTGGAGGAGATGGAAATGTCCAGCATAGGGTCTCCTCCTTGCCTTCCCAGGCCCCCTGACTGCCCCTCTCTGCCTCTCCCCTCCGGCCCTGCCCAGGGTGGACTCCATCATGCTGGTGGAAGAGGGCTTCAGCGTGACCAGTGTAGACGCCAGTGACAAGATGCTGAAGTACGCGCTTAAAGAGCGTTGGAACCGGAGGCATGAGCCAGCCTTCGACAAGTGGGGTACGCAGGTCCAGTCGGGCCCTCCCTGCCCAGCACCCCAGGGTGCAGTACTTTCTGCCCCGGGCTCCTTTAGCTCCTGTGGCTGGAGTGCTTGATTTCCTTAAGGGGACAGCAAAATTACTTTCATTTCCCGGGAAAGGGAGGCTCAGGCACCGGAATGAGGTATCTGGTAACGAGGGGCTAGTTTTAATGATGTTTGTAGGATCTTCTCCCTTCTCCCAGATAAAAACCGGGAAGCGCCGAGCCATTCTTCCCAATCACAGCTTCCTCCCCCTTTGACTCCTCCTCCCCTTCACCCTCCATTCCCATAATGACCCCCTCCCCCTAACTGGATAGGGAATCCCCGTGTGTCTTGAAGGGGAAACTGAGGCAGGGCTGCACTTGGTGGAGGTGGGTACTGCTGGGGCCATGGGGCCACCCTGATCCCTCTTCCCCTTCCTGGTCCCAGTCATTGAAGAAGCCAACTGGATGACCTTGGACAAAGATGTGCCCCTGCCACCAGGGGGTGGCTTTGATGCGGTCATCTGCCTTGGAAACAGTTTTGCCCACCTGCCAGACTGCAAAGGTGAGAGGGGGTGTGGCCTGGATCCTGGCCCCTGCTTTGAGCTCTGCCTCTTTCCACAGACCCTCTGGGTGCCTGCTCTCCTGTCAGAGCAGACTGTTTTCTGCTCCGCTCTGCCTTGGCATCGGTATCCCCAGGGAGGAGGAGGAAGATGGGAGGGAGACTGGACCCCAGGGCTCTCGGCAGACGCAGCCTCTCTGCCCCCGCCCTGAGCTCAGGAGACCAGAGTGAGCACCGGCTGGCGCTGAAGAACATCGCGAGCATGGTGCGTTCTGGGGGCCTGCTGGTCATTGACCATCGCAACTACGACCACATCCTCAGCACAGGCTGTGCACCCCCAGGAAAGAACATCTACTATAAGGTGGGGGTCCCCAAGGGTGCGAAGCCCAGAAAGAGGGGATGGCATCCTGGGGTCCAGGTCCCCCAGTGGTTGCAGAGGCTAATGTAGCCTGTCCTGCCACCTACAGAGTGACCTGACCAAGGACATCACGACGTCCGTGCTGACTGTGAACAACAAGGCCCACATGGTGACCCTGGACTATACGGTGCAGGTGCCAGGGGCTGGCCAGGATGGTTCCCCTGGCTTGAGGTAGCCCCTGGGCTCGCTGGGGGGTGGGGGTGGGGTGGTGCTGAGGCTGCCAGTCTTCACAGCTGCCTGGGGGCTCTGTTGCAGTAAGTTCCGGCTCTCCTACTACCCACACTGTTTGGCTTCCTTCACGGAGTTGCTCCGAGCAGCCTTCGGGGGCAAGTGCCAGCACAGCGTCCTGGGTGACTTCAAGCCTTACAAGCCGGGCCAGGCCTACATTCCTTGCTATTTCATCCACGTGCTCAAGAGGACGGACTGAGCGCTGAGCGTGGTCTCAGCTACAACCCTCTGCCCAGGCCCTGCCCTATCTGGCTGGGGAGGTGGGGACTGGGGGTCCCATACCGAGGGCAGCCCCCAGCACAGATCCTGGGGTGTGGGGAGGGGCAGACTGCTGCTGTAGGTGTAGGGATTTGGGCAAATGGAAGCATGAGCAATACAGTCCGTGCCTTTTTCCTTTTCTGCACACCTTGTGTTTGGGTCAGAAGGCTCCAACTCCCGGAGGTGCCCTCCCTTGGCCTTACTCATTCCACAAGCTTACTCTTCAGCGCGCCAGCCGTTCAGACCACAACCAGCAGGGGGCAGCATAGACTTTATTTTCAGCCAAGACTGGGCTCCCTCTGGGGCCCAACCTTTGCACTCCATCCAGGCCCAAGCTCCTCCTCCTGAGCAGGGGGTCTTTAGTCCTGGAGCTGGAGCTGGCATGGAAGGACAAACCGGTAGGCGGGGGTGATGCTCTTTGAGCGCTTGTGGGGCTGCTTGGCTCCGGCTCCGGCTCCGAGGGCGTCTGCTTGGAGGTAGGCAGCCTTTGGGTGCGACAGCAGCAGGAGGAGAAGGAGCCCTTTGCTATCTCCGAGTCTGCGGGGTTACCTAGCACCTTCGGCCCTTGCGGGTGGGGGGCGGACGGCAGGAGGCTCCTAGCAGGCCGCAAACTTGCGCTGGCTGCGCTTGTACCTGAGCAGTTCCTGCTCGCTGACTGATGGCTGCAGCCGGACAGCGGCCTGCAGCAGATCCTCCATGGTGAGGAGCAGTGCCGAGCTCCCGGCCTCCAGCCCTGGTGGGGGGAGGTGAGAGGGAAACAGCCTGTGGTCTGGGTCTGAGGAGGACAGAGCCTTGGAGTGGGCCCCTTCTTGCCCAGAGCCCCCAGATGTCAGTAGCCCCTCCTCTGAAATCCCGGAGCAGGCCTGGATCCCATTAGCTTTTTGGTCAACCTCTGGGGCTGGCAAACGGCTCACCTTCTTCCAGGTCCCGGACCCTGCGTTTGAGGGCAGCTGTCATGGCATCAGAGCAGAGGGAGTAGAGGTCTGCCCCCGTCAGCTGGGGAGGGCAGCGATCTAGCACATTCACCAAGCTCACAGAAGGTTCTAGCTTGAATCTGTTGTGCCGGCAGAGGAAAGAAATGGTTGAGTCCGTCAAAAGGCATCCCGGACCAGCTTATTCTGCACATTGCCTTTATTCCCTAACCATCCCAAGGCCCAAGGCCCCTCAGAGTCTCCCGCTAATGGGGCATACTTGCGTGTGATGGCACTTAGAACACGGAGCTGGGAGGCACGGTCCTCGCTCACTCCCACAAACACCAGCTTGTCAAATCTGTAGGGAAACGGTCAGGCATGAGTGTCAGGGAGCCCAGCGCCAGGGTGGAGAGGGGGCACAGGCTGGGGCTCAGGGGCCAGGCCCATGTGGGCGTGGTTGAGGTGAGCGGTTCAGGGTGCGCACCTCCCGGGCCGCAGAAGGGCAGGGTCCAGGAGGTCTGGTCTGTTGGTGGCTCCGATCACAAACACATCCTGAGTGCTGTGGAGCCCATCCAGCTCGGCCAGGAGCTGAGACACCACCCTGTGAGTGAGAACATGGAGCCAGAGTGTCCTTGGCCCTTCCCCAGCCTCTGCCCTGCCTGTGGGGCCCCTCCTCGCCAGGCCTTCCCGAGGGGCCACCGGCACGGCCGGGTCCTGTGTACCCCCTCCACGCAGGCCCCCTGTTCTCAGTGTCCCCCACCTGACCCCACGGCCCCCTTTTCTCTGTTATACTGTTTCGGAACTGGAATGGCTGGCAAGCCCTGGGCTCTATAAAGACAGCCGCAACCTGTCTCCCGTCCCTCCGCCTTAGACCCCAGACTCCAATCTGGCTGAGACCCCCACCTGTCCATCACACCTCCAGAGTCTCCGCTTCGCCCCCGGCTCGGGGCCAGGGAGTCCAGCTCATCGAAGAAGATAATGCATGGAGCTGCGGCCCTGGCCCTGGAAAACACTGAGGAGAGAAAGGGACCCAAAGGAGGGGGAAGTTCAGGGGGTTCTGAAGTCAGGCGATGGAGGAGGGGAGCCAGGAGTGACAATTCGTCACTCTAGGTGCTAGGCCACCCTGGGCAGGTCCTCTTGCAGAAAGGACCATGAGGCGGTGCAAAGACCAGGAGCCGCTGGAGGGTCAGGGGGGCACAAGGGCCATTAGGGTTTGGGAAGAGCTAAGAGCCTGGCCCCTCCTCGCTCACCTTCTCGCACATTCTCCTCACTCTGACCCACATACATGTTGATGAGCTCAGGCCCCTTCACGCTGAGAGAGAGGATGAGACTTGTCAGATGTGTAAACACACGACCTCCCAGCCACCCCCCCTCCGGCTCCCCAGCCTCCGGAAGCTCCCAGTCCACCCACCACCCCTTCCACACCCCGTCGCCACCTGAGGAATGTAAGGCAGCATTCGGTGGCTACTGCCTTGGCCAGGAGGGTCTTGCCCGTGCCAGGCGGACCATGGAGCAGAAGGCCCGAGCGCCTGAGGCCCAGGCTCAGCAGCTCAGGGTGCTCTAGAGGGAGCTGAATGGTCTCCAGAATCTCTTTTTTCACCTCCTGCAGCCCGCCCACATCATGCCAGGACACGGAGGGGATCTAGGAGATGGAAAGTGTGTGGTTGGGGGCAGGGTAGTGGAGAGAACTCCTGTCCTATGCCCGAGGACCTGGAGTCTCTACCTTGGGGGCTCCAATGGCCTGGGAATGAGCTGTCTGCAGCTGCTCCAGTGCCTGCCCGAAATCCTCAGCCAGGAGAGGAAAGCCAGCAGCACACAGCTCCCCCTCGTCCTCCTCAGTCAAGCCACCCGCCAAGCTGCAAAGAGAAACCCAGGAGGACCTCTGGAGGAGCTGACCAGAAGCATCCTCCCCAACACGGTCCTCCTCCCCCTTCCCCAACTCCCACCCTCCTCCTCCATATTTCCTCTTGCCTCCTTTCCCTCCCAGTTTCCTCACCCCGAGTTCTTGATCCTGGCGCAGGCTGCCCGGCTGCTGTGGGTCAAAAGGGCATAGAGATCCCCTACCACGAAGCCCTGGGGAAGCACAGGAGAGGGCACGGGAGCTGGGCACAGCAGGCAGGAACCCTCAGAAGCCAGCCCCACGGCAGGAACAGAGGCCCAGCGCCGAAGCCCGCAGGGGCAGGGCAGCGGGACTGGGGGGCGGGCGTGCGTGCCTCCTCAGGGTACTCACCGCACACCGCCGTGCCAGCTGCGTCAGGTTCACCTCTTGGCCCAGGGGAAGGTGGGCGGTGAGGGCCCGCAGAACACTGAGCCGCTGCCCCTCTGACAACACGGGCACCTCCAGCTCGTGAGGAAACGCCGTCTGCACATCGGCGGGCAGGTCCTGGGCCTGGCTCGTGGTGGCCACGACCAGCAGGGGCGGGCGGCTGCAGACACAGAGCTGGCGCTGAGGGCCAGAGCATGGCTGGTGGCCCCTGAGGGCTGTCGTGTCATGAGGCTGGTGCAGTGGGGCAGGGAGGTGGGTGGGTGCTGGGTTGCGAGAGGGAGCTGAGCACCCCAAAGCTTCCTGCAGGGGCTCCATGGGCACACCCTGAGAGGGAGACCTGTGTCCACCCCCTCACACAGGGAGCTCACTGAGGGGAGACCCTGGGCTTTTCCTCTAATGTGGTGCTCCCCCACGAAATACTAGGGACCGCATCATCCCCCTCCCTCTGGATACCCCAAGCCCCTCAGCTCAGGACTGCCAGGAGGACAGCCAAATGGGCTAGAGGTCTGATAAGCCACTGAGGAAGAGAAGACAACAGGCTGAAGAGAGGTGGGGGGGGCTGGGCCCCACCCTTTATAGACCCAGCTCTGCACAATACCTGGTGAGGGGATCCTCATCGAGGAGGAGGCGACGCAGCGTGGCCACCACACGGGTGTCCTCCCCTAGCCCGTCACGGTCCCGGCCCAGGAGGTCCACGGCTGTCAGCAACAGAACCGCAGGCCGGCAGCGCCGGGCCCGGGAGAAGGTGGCCTGCAGCTTCGTCTCCACAGCCCCACTGCTGTCTGCACAGAGGCTAGAGCAGGGCACCTGGGGACAAGGTGGCCTGTGAGCAAAGGGCAGGCGTGATGGAGGCAGAAAGGGCAGGGACAGGAGCCACAAGAAGAGGCAGAAGATCTTTTTTTAGAGGGCGGAGACGGGGGAGCAGTAACACTGGCCAAGTGGTACCTCTTCTTTACCCTGACCTCAGTCCCTGGACTGCCCATCACAATCTTCAAACCCCTTCCTTTTTGAAAGTATCTTTCAGTAGCAGAGAATCATGGGAATATGTCTGACCTGCTCAGGTCCTGGGGCTAGGCTGGTGGCCAGAAGGGGGAGGGGAGAGGGAAACTCCGGGCCAGGAGGTGTACTTGGGGTTCAACTCTCCAGGTACCCTCACCTTCAGCAGGTGGAGCCCGAGGCGGCTACAGGCTGCAGTGACAGCTGTGGTTTTCCCACTGCCCGGGGGGCCCCGGAGAAGGACACTGCTGGTTCCTGTCAACAGAGCACCTCTGCAACCAGAGAACAGACACTTGTCTTTTCTATTCTGCTCAAACTGAGAGCCCTCAGTAACAGAGGGACCCTTGGATTGAGAATGCAGGCACTCTCCCTCCTTGTAGACCCCTTCCTCCTCCAGGGTTGCTGCCCCGTGGTGAGGCTGTAGTTCCCATGCCACCTGTGGGGCTCTGACAGGGGCAGGGAGCGTACCCAGCAGCCAGGACCGTTCCCTTTTGTCGTCGCTGCCTTCAGTAAAGCCTTGACTACTATGTCTGGTCTGGACTATATTGAGAGGAGGGAGGGCAGGGTCTGTGTCTACACATAGGCTAGTGGTATGAGGAGCTGTGTCCTTTGGTGAAGGCCAGCATGGCTAGTGGGCTCCCCGCGGGGAAGGGCGATCTCCAAGACAGCTGTCCCCGGTGGAGATTCTGCTTCCACAGCCAACCCTGGCGGGTAGAGGTTACCCCCAGGAAAGAACCTAGGAATTTGCCTACAGAAAGGACGTGGGCTAGCGGCCTGGGCATACTGGTCTGAGGGAGGACCACCAACCCTATGCTGGCCAGCGCATTAGGGACTGCTTGTCCAGCCCACTGCCCCTCCAGAGATGTCCCGAGCAGGCTTCTCTCATACCCTGGGGCTGCAGCCTCACTCACCCAGGCTGGAGGCGAGGCTTCAGGGCAGCACAAAGCTCAGTCACCAAGGTCTCCAGGCCCGGAGGCGACAGGCTGTTCCAGGGAGTGGATTCTCCTGAAGTGAGACTGGGAACAGGGCTCAGGGTAGAACCCACCTATGCAAGGTGGGAGGAAGCTTTAGTGTCTGGAATCTGTTTCTGTCCCTTTTCCCAGGCCTAGTCCCATCCCCAGGGCCTCACCAGGTACAAGGAGGTATGAGCCGTGTCCGCCAAGTAGGCCCCGGTCGGCCCATCCGGAGTTTCGCCAACAGTTTTCTTCACTTTAAAAAACATTTCCCGCCACCTGCAGAAAAGAAGCCCAATGAACTGCAGATCCAGAGCCCGCATACGTCCCTCCCAAAAGGACAAGGTGGCTGTCTCCAGCACAGAGGTGGACCGCAGGGACAAACTCAAGGGCAGCACGAACAACTGCCCCCAGACACAGCAGGGGGCTGGGGAGGGGAGGTAAGGGAAAGCAAGTAGCGGTCCTTCTTATCTCCCTGGCAGGCTCCTGCGCATTTTGAGGGCAGGAGCGAGAGCTGTCCCCCATATCCCTCATGACAACCATCAGAGAGCCTTGGGGTGTTTCTCCAGGTAAATGGCCCCCCCCCTACAGTTCCAGTGGGAGAAGCCACAGCTGCACTGAGCAAATGATCATCTGACCATTTTCAAAGCCTTCAGAACACAGTCTTCCCCCCGCCAATTCATACAAAACCTTCCAAAACCTCAGCAGGAAGGGGCCCTTGGCTCTTATCCAGTAATCCACAAAATCGAATTGCAGATTCCTTATTAAAGACACCTAATGACTTTCCATTTTGGCTGCACATTAGAATTATCTGTGAAACTTGGGCACATCAACATCTCCAACATGTTGTATGATTCCATTCGACAGACTGGTATTTGCTGGGGCTGTGGGAAGGAGGGAGTAGGTAGGGTCTGCTAATGGGAAGGGGTTTGGGGGGGATGAAAATGTTCTGGAATTAGATACTGGTGTTGGTTGCAAAACCTTACGAATATAGTAAAAGCTACTGAGCGGTACACTTTAAATGTATGAATGAGATCACAATTTTTAAAAAAGTAGTCTCAATGCCCAGTGTGGGGCTTGAACTTATGACCCTGAGCTCAAGAGTTGTATGCTCTACTGACTGAGCCAGCCAGGCAGGCCCCAGCCTTACCTTGACTTTGTGCCAGTAGGTCTGGGGCAGGGCTCAGGCATCTGTAATTTTGAAAGCTCCCCTCAGCCATAACCAGGGCTGTGCATTCACTGGCTAGTCTCAGAGTGAGTTGGGGCCACTCAGCCTAAGAAGGGTGCAGTGGGGAGCAGATAGTAGTTACTAACTGAATCTTCCAGAAAAGAAATGATGAACGACTCCCCTCTTTAATCCTAGGGGCAAAGGCAATGACTTGGCCCAGACTCTAACTTGGTCCTCTTTAAGCTCCAGTCCGTACAAATTCTTTTGTTCACATTGTCTCATTCATAAAGCTGCTTACTCTGGCAGCAAAGTGGGGTGTATGGGAATAACTCCAGGTGGAGGGGAGAAGCGTACTAGATTGGTACTATGAACTCTGGCAGTTATTAGGGTAGGCAGATATCATGATAAAAAGTGGAACATAGGGAAGCCTGTGTCTTCCTGTTATTCAGTATTAATGAACAGTAGGTAGTTCTAGAACCTGGCATCTCAATCCTGAGTCACAGTGCACATGGTGAGCAGTGGAATCCAAGGAGGAACACTGTGGAAGGCTAGGGGGAAGTCTCCCCTTCTCCCTTGACAGAAGGACCATCTCAGTAAGTACAAGGACCAGACCTCTTGAACATATCTGGGTATTGGGGAACGCTGGGTTGTGTTCTCAAGAGACAGAGGGGAGACAGTGGAGCTGGATCCTGCTGGCTTGTTCTGGGGGAGCAGAACCGTGGAAGAGCTTGCAGAGGCCACAGCACCACCACTGGAATTCTAGTGCAGGGATCACAGGACTCCCCAGCAAAGGCTTCCCTTACCAGGTTTGGGGGAGGAGGGCTAAAGCACCCATCTCTGTCTGTCTTTGGACCCACCTGCCCACCCCAATCCTGCTTTCCAGGGCCTGCTCAGTGGGAAGAACTGTGGGCTCAGCACCCAGAGGAGGGAGGCAGGTCTCTACAGGGCTGGAACAGCAGAGACCCGGGAACAGAAGAGGCTTGCTGGTCTGTCTCAGAAGGGCCCAGTGCCTGCTTCCCTTTGAAGTACAAAGGGTGGGCCTCCTGTAGTTTTCCTACAGAAAGCTAGCTCGTAGATATTGGCTATATTTAAGATGGGAGACACAAACAGGAAGTAACTAATACACATTCAGCCTGGCATTTTCTACCAGGCCCCAGTTGTAGATTAGACTTGGGAAAGCTCAAAGAGGTGCCATGAGCATTAAATGGGGTTACAAAGGGCACTACCAGGCCCTCGCATGGGTACCACAGCTTTGAATAAACCGAGCTCTGAATGTTGACCAAGAATGAATCAGTCACACTCCATACAAGGCATCGCTCCTGGCAGAGGACCCAGGCTGCTAGGCCAGAGACCTTGGGCATGCCAACTTGTACACCTCAGTTCCTTCTGGCTGGCTGGCACCACCTCATTGAAATCCCCTGTGAACGTTGGATTAGCATGTCTATCAGTTGTGTTCTCCTTCTAGTTCATGGCTACAGAAAACCAGTCTTAGGGTATCAGGCTACGCATTCTCCTGCTTCACAGAAAGCCAAAGCAGTCTCTGAATTCTTTGCCTTCCATTTTACATGGAACCTCTATGATCAGTATCTACAGTGGGAGAAAGGTTGGACTCCTTGTTTTGGGTGCTTGGGTCACTTATACTTAATTTCTCACTCTTTACTGAGAATAAGGAAAAAGAGGCAGCCTTTCAACGACAGCAGCAATCTGTCTCTCCCTTATTTTAGGAGATGCGATTGAAAAGCTGCATGGGCACACACCATTAATTAGGGCAGAAATCAAAGCCCGGGTCTCCTTATGTTGAGTATATGGGAGGTGTGGCCTGAAACCTGGCCCAAACGACCCTGTGGTTGTGAATGAAAAGCAAGGAATCTCATGTTGGTCTAGGCCCTTAAACTTCTTAATGCTTTCCTTTACCTGTGACCACCCAATTATTTGAGGATAAAAACCTCCCGAAGGCAGCAGGCAGTGGTTCTTAATCTTTTTTCAGTCCCGTGTCTATTTGAGAACCTGAAGAAAGCATGTACCTTTTCTCTAGAAAAATGTACATGACAGGGGCACTTGGGGGTGCTCAGTGAGTTAAGTGTCTGCCTTCAGCTCAGGTCATGATCCCAGGGTCCTGGGGTAGAGCCCCAAATCAGGCTCCTTGCTCAGTGGGGAAGTCTGCTTCTCCCTCTCCCTCGGCCCCTCCTCTGTGCTCGTGCTCTCTCAAATAAATGAATAAAATCTTTTTAAAAATGTACATGACAACAACGGTTTCTTATATAAAAAAATTATTTCACTTGTGGGGAGGTGATTATAGAACTCTTGCACCCAGGTTAGGAATCCCAGCTGTAGGATAAGAGGCAGGTGCGTACCTGGGCAGTTTCTCTGGGCTTCCTTCCAGGATCTCTACTTGCCCAACTGTTGGCACACACAGAACATCCCCTTCCTGGACTGCCCTGCAACACAGCAGTGGCCCTGGTCAGCTCACAGCGAGAGTCAAGAACATGGGATGACGCATCCGCACATGTCTACTCCCAACCCGCAGACCATAGGGGCCTACCACCCACCCAGAGATCCCAAGCAGTTGTCTGGACACCAGGTCTGACCTAGAATGAGCTGGGGGGAATGGCAGAGAGGCTAGAAAGGGGGACTCAGCAGTGAGGGGCAGAGCAGGATCCTGGCTCTTTGCAGGCCCTCTCAAATCAAAGAGGTTTCTCAGTTTAGAATGTCCAGATTCACCTTCTGGTACCAATTTCTCTTCTACTGACCACCTGCCACACGAAGAGGCATCTAGCCACAGTATTGCCAAAAATGTGGCTTTGTAAAGTCAGAGGCTCTGTGGGACCTGATTCTAAGGCATGGGATAGAAGAGCAAGGGTGAGATGCTATCCTCCTGAAAGGGGGTAAGCAGCTAACCTGGGTGTCTGAAAGTGCCGGTAAAGAACACGGTCATAATTTCCGTTGGTGCTGTAGTGTGGAGAGGACACAATTTCGATGTGCAACTCTTTGGCAAACAGAGGCCCAGGCAGCACTGAACAGCTTCCTTTGTCTTCGGGCGTTCTGGAACCTTCCAAGTACCTCTATCAGAGAAATAACCACCACCTTACAACCTTCTTCCAAGGAGTCAGGCTCTGCCCCACCTTAACTGTAGCAGCCAATATTTCTCTTTGCATCCTCCAGCCACAGGGCCTGTGGGAGGGGAGGCCTAAGGTAGCCAAACTGAATTCCTGTATCTTCCCTAGAAACAGAAACCTCTCCTCCTCATGGGCACCACCAGGAAGAGATTTCTGACTCTAGCTCCAAAAAGTTCCCCAGTACGAATAACCTTTCTGCGATACCTTTAAGTTGACCCTGAGCCAGGAAAATGGTAAAGACATTTAATTTCCACAAGTCCTTTTGAGTGACACCAGGCCGCAACTGGAATCGATATTAATTGGACATTAGTGGGGCCACTGAATTCAGGCTGTGGGAAAAGGATATGATCTCACTGAAGCTGAAAGGATTGGTTCAGCTGAATGAGATGAACCTCAGTGAGCTGTCCTCAGTCTGAGGGCTCGTTTCTCCACCATTCAAAGGGAAACCCACACCTGACTCCCATTCATGCATATCTTATATCCTTCTTGACATCTTAGAGCACTAACTGGCTATGCCAGCATTATCTAACAGAAGTTTCTACAGTGACAGAAATGTTACCTACATGTGCTATTGAGTATTTGACACGTAACTGAAGCAACCGAAGAACCGAGTTTTAAATTTTATTTAGTTTTAATTAATTTAAAAAGCCACACTGTGGCTAGCGGCTTCCATATTGGACAGTATAGGTTTAAACCATACATCTAGGTGCCTAATTAAACAGTAAACTATATTTGTCCCCCCAAATACAATGATCTTCTTGAAGTAATCTCCTTAAAGGCAGAAAGAAAATTTCTCTTGGGTATATTTACTAAAATATGAAAACCAAATACCAGGCACTAAAGAGAATATCGAGCCCTCCCCTTCGAGGAATTTACAATATATAACTGAGTATTAGACAGAGTACATAATCATAAAGGGAAAGAAAATAAATGCCCTAAGAAAGGTACAAAACGCTATAGGAGGAAGAAGTCATGTTAAATATACGGTAAGATCATGTAAGGCTTTGAGAAGAAGGTGGTGTCTTTCAATGGGCTTTGAAGGAAAGGATGGTAGGACCTTAACAGATGAGGCCAGCAGAAAAGGAAGGAATTTGAAGACAAGGATAAGCATAAGCAAAAGAAATGAGTTATCATCCTCTATATTACTCAGTACAATCCTGGATACACTGTAACCAATTCAACAAACAACTGATTAAGCAGATTAATATACTGTATATACCTGGTAACTTGAGGATGACTCTTTCCTTTCACCTGGATAGATGAAAGCCCTTCCCATGTGTCACTACACCATGGAGGATTATATTTTGATTACAGAGATAAATAAGACTAAGAGACATTAAGATCTAAGAAGTAGGTGATCTAAACTCTACAGCTCTCTTCTTCCAATATAGTTTAGATAAGGAAGAGGGAATAAGGAGTGGAAGCATTCCTGACCTCAGTCCTGTATCCTACCTGAATTCTGAGCTCTCCCACTTCCAGGAGATCACAGCCGAGATTAAAAGCCAGAGTGGCAGGCACGAGGGCCAGTCCGTCTGCGAGGGGCTCTCCCGGCTGTCCAGAGCCGGGTCCCAGCCTTTCAGAGAGGTCCCAGCGAGGCTCTAGGACCTGAACCCTGGCCAAATGTGGCTGGGAAGTGTTCGAAGATTCTCCCGCCCGGGTCACCCATACCCATTCGCCCTGGAAGAGGCCCAGGCTACGGAGACAGCTCCGGCTTACTCCGAGCGAATCTCCAGTCCCTCCCAGAACTCCCCGGAGTCGCCGGACTGTGCAGTTAACCGCGAAGGAGGACACCACGGGTGGGGGTGGGGGTCGGCTGCTGTCCCCAGCCTCCTGACCCAGTTTGGCTCGCCCACGGAGCTCAGTCACAGCTAGCCGCGTCCCTGGGCCCAGCAGCCCTTGCAACGCCGGCCGCGTTTCCAGCACCCGCGGTCCGGGCACTGGCAGGGCCTCTCCGCGCCGCACCAGCAGCGGCCCGACTCTCGGTCCCGGCCCGGGCCCCGGCGAGGTGCCAAGCAGCGCCCAGCCTAGCGCCGGAGGCCGCCGCACAGGCCGCGCCCGCACCCACGCCCCAGAGCCCAGAGCCAGGAGCCGCAGCAGCGCGCGGCTAACCAGTAGCTGCGGGGGCCCTGGACCCTGCTCCTCGGTCTCCGCGCCCGGTCCCTCCAGGGCCGCCACTAACAGCGCCGGCCCTGCGGGGCTCTCCTCTGCGGGCCGCAGGGCTAGCACCAGGCCCAGCCCCGCCTCAGGCCACGGGCCCCCGGGGGGCAGCAGCACCGCCAACGGGGGTGCCTCGGTCGGGAAGGGCTCCAGGACTCGCAAGACTGCCAGCGCCATGGTGACAGGAGACCAACGAGGAAGGGGAAGGAGAGCGGCTTCCGGGGCCAGACTGCCGCCCGCCGTTTCCGCTTCCGTCGAGGGCTGTGCGAGGACAGTGGGCGGGGCGGCGGGTTCCTGGCTGGCGTCCGCGTGGAGGTTTAGCGGCCGCTCGGATTGAAGGGTGGCTTTCTCGGTGGCGGTAACGCGTTCACTGCCGCGGAGTAGTCAACATTTTGAGACGGTGTTTGCAGGGATGTGTTTTCCGCGCCTGCTAAGGGAGTAACGTCCTCCCCACTGCCCTGCCTTGCACTTAACAGTTCATTGAATGATCAACGAACCGTCGGCGTGCCCAGGACCAGCTTGGCCCAGGGCTGGGAGCTACGGGTGGAGTGTTTAGGAAGGAGTCCAGTCCTCCGTGGAACTCCTGTAGTTTCCACGGTGGAACTGTAGGCACTGAGGCTTGGTGGTTGTGGGGAAGATTGCAGGAGGGAGTGGTAGGATAAAACTGCCTCAGCCGTGCTTATGGCTATGTAGTGGCTGCAGGCTGGATAACTACCTGTGATTCATGGAGCCCTGGAGTATTTGGTACTGCCTCACCTGTTCCAGCACATGCTACACAAAACCCACGTCCCAGTGTTTCTTGTCCTGTTTCTTGTCCTGTTCGTTCTACTCCCACCAAGCTTGAAGACAAAGCAGCTTCGCTTTTTCATCCTCCAAAACAGTTGCTCTCCCCATCCCACCAATCCTTGCAGACTGGAGACCCACGTCCTGTTTCTACCCTGCGGGGTGAGGGGCGATGTGGTGATGGGAGCAGTAGAGCAGGCAGAAGAAAGGGGTCCAAGGCTTCAGTCATGAGAGGGAACCAACAGTTTGCTTCCCAGCTTTAGCTGTTACTTAGATTCCATCCTTGTCTCCAGTTCCACTGCTCTGGACAAGGCACTTGGACACCGACAGGCCACACCTCCAGTAATTAACAAAAAAAATTTTTTTCTCTTGGAATCAGTCCATTGGTTGGTGGTAATCTACCCTTCCTGGACCTTGCATTCTCCAACCACTGCCTAACTTTCCCCTTTCCTTCACAGCTGAACAACTTGAGGCAGTCTTTAAATTTGTACATCATGAATTCCTGAAAATCTGAGAGTTGAATATTAGATTTACATGTTAGAAGGTATTTCTATTCCTAGTGAGACAAGAAGGTATTTTTATGTGTGTTTTTTTTTTTTTTAAAGTTGTGTTTATTTGACGGAGGGAGTGAGAGAGCAAGTGAGCACAAGCAGGGGTGTGGCAGAGGTAGAGGGAGAAGCAGGCTTTTGACTGAGCAAGGGAGGACAATATGAGGCTCAATCCCAGGACCCTGGGATCATGACCTGAGCCTAAGGCAGACCTTTAATTGGCTGAGCCACCCAGGGATCCCTATTTTTTATTTGTCATTTTTTTTAAAAAGATTTTATTTATTTATTTGACAGAGATCACAAGTAGGCAGAGAGGCAGGCAGAGAGAAAAGGAAGCAGGCTCCCCGCTGAGCAGAGAGCCCAATGCAGGGCTCAATTCCAGGACCCCGGTATCATGACCTGAGCTGAAGGCAGAGGCTTTAACCCACTGAGCCACCCAGGCGCCCCTATTTTTTATTTGTTAAGTGGGCTTCACACTAGGGCTTGAACTCATGACCCAGAGATCAAGACCTGAGTTGAGATCAAGAGTCGGATGCCAACCCAGTCCTCCAAGAAAATATATTTTAAAAGTCTGATTATAGTTCCTGGAGGTGCTTCTAATCTTAAACTTGAAATTGCCTAATTCTACTTTTGTTTTATTTTGTTTTGTTTGAGAGAGAGCAGGCATGCTTGAGGTGGGGACAGAAGCAGAGGGAGATAATCTTAAGCAGACTCCATACTGAGCTTGGATCCCAGTGTGTGGCTCCATCTTACAAGCCTCAAATTATGACCTGAACTGAGCCAAACTCAAGAGCTGGACATTTAACCAACTGAGCAATCCAGGCAGCCCTCCACTTTTTTTCTTTTTTTAAAGTAATCTCTGTGCTCAACATGGGCCTGGAACTCACAACCCAAGATCAAGAGTCACATGTTCCACTGACTGAGTCAGCCACGCTCCTCCTCTAGTTCCACATCTTTAAAAGTGCATGTAAGAATGTACTAGAGACCTGAATTCATATGGGTGAAAGTTCCCATTTGGTAGTTCTGAACTGTATAATGTGGCTCTGTCCCTTGCTTCCCACAGGGACCAAGGACTGGGAGGATGGTGGGGTGAGTCCAAAAAGGATATGCTGGCTTTACATAGGCAAGCTCTGGGCCTCAGGACTACAGTGCTCCTTGAGGGCTTAGGAATGGGTAAATAAACCTGGTCTCCTGTCTGGTTCAGCAGTCATATAGACACAAATATCCATTCTTTCTTCTTCTTTTTTTAAAATATTTTATTTGTTTATTTGAGAGAGAGAGAGTGAGAGAGAGCATGAGAGGGGAGAAGATCAGAGGGAGAAGCAGACTTCCTGCAGAGCTGCCCCAAGGCAGGACCCAACTCCAGGACTCTGGGATCATGACCTGAGCTGAAGGTACTGGCTTAAGCAACTGAGCCACCCAGGCGCCCCCACAAATATCCTTTCTTCCCAGGCTTTTCCCCCAGCAAATAATGGTTGGCATGCAGTCTGCTTTGTTACTTTGAAATTGTCATTAATCGGGGCGCCTGGGTGGCTCAGAGGTTAAAGCCTCTGCCTTCGGCTCAGGTCATGATCCCAGGGTCCTGGGATCGAGCCCCGCATCAGGCTCTCTGCTCCGTGGGGAGCCTGCTTCCCTTCCTCTCTCTCTGCCTGCCTTCCTGCCTACTTGTGATCTCTCCCTCTGTCAAATAAATAAATAAAATCTTTAAAAAAAAAAAAAAAAAGAAATTGTCATTAATCAGTAGGAGCCAAATACTATTTCCATAAGATAGGAACCTATATTTGTTGCCTTTACTTCCTTACCTCTCACTCACTCTTCAACTCATTATAACCTTCCTTCCACTTCTATAAAACTTTCCCTCAAAGATCATCTACAACTACAGAATCAAGGTAGTGTTGTTTGATCATTATCTTACTCAGTCATTCCTTGGAATGTGTCACTATTGACCAATCCTCTTTTTTACTTCCTTTGCCATTGCAACACCGGTTTTCCACCTACACCTCTGATGGCTCCAGAAGTCATCTTCAACCCCTCCCTTTCCCTTACCATCTTCTGCACAGTCCAGTGAATCACCAGATCCTGTTGATTCTACATATTTCCCAATTCTGTCTTGTCTTCTCCCTGCCATGGCCTTTCTCTATTAACACTGCTGTATGGGTCAAGGGTCACAGGCTTTTTCTTGAGCCTTCTCCAGTTTCTTCATATAGTCAATAGTCTAATGGAGTTGAATTTTTGCATGAGCAGGGGGAGAGGCAAAGGGAGAGGGAGAAGCAGACTCTGTGCTGAGCCGGGAGCCTGATGTGGGACTTGATCCCAGGACCTGGACAGCATGGCCTGGAGAGCTGAAGGCAGATGCTTAACCATCTGAGCCACCAAAGTGCCCCTTTATTTTATTTTATTTTATTTTATTTTATTTATTTTATTTTCTAAAGGATTTTATTTATTTATTTGACACAGAGAGACACAGCGAGAGAGGGGACGCGAGCAGGGGGAGTGGGACAGGGAGAAGCAGGCTTCCCGCCCAGCAGCGAGCCCAATGCGGGCTCAATCCCAGGACCCCAGGATCATGACCTGAGCGGAAGTCAGATGCTCAATGACCGAGCTACCCAGGTGCCCTGATTTATTTATTTTAGAGAGACAGAATGAGAGCAAAAGCGAGAGTGAGAGAGAGAGAGAAAGAAAGAACAGGGGAAGAGGGAGAGAGTCTTAAGCAGAGGCCATGCTGAGCATGGACCCCGGCCCGGGACTCCCATCTCCTGACCCTGAGATCATGACCTGAGCTGAAACCAAGTGTCAGACGCTCAACTGAGCCACCCAAATGCCACCCCATGCCCCCAGCGTTAGATTTTTTTTTTTTTTAAGATTTTATTTGTCAGAGAGAGAGCACAAGCAGGGGGAACAGCAGGCAGAAGGAGAGGCAGGCTCCCCACCGAGCACGGAGCCCAGCTAGGACCCTGGGATCATGACCTGAACCAAAGGCAGACTGAACCAAGGCACCCCTTGACTTTTTTTTTTTTTTAAGATTTTAATTATTTATTTGAGAGCACTTGTTGCCCTTGAGCACCAGTTAGGGGAGGGGCAGAGGCAGAGGGAGAAGCAGGCTCCCCGCTGAGCAGGGAGCCTGCCAGAGGCTGGGCTCCATCCCAGGACACTGGGATCTTGACCTGAACCGAAGGCAGAAGCTTAATTGACTGAACTACCCAGGTGCCCCTGGAGTTGACTTTCTGAAACATATTCCTCCAGCCACTTCTAGATTTGTGTAATTATTACATTGTATCTTAAGCATCTGTTCATACAAGTCTGTGAACTTCACTAGTCAGTAAACCCCCTAAAGGCAGGATCATTCAGTAGGACATTGGCTTGGGCAAGGTGGAAGTTAAGGGATGTCTATCCTAAGACACTCAACGACATAGCTTTTCCACTGTATTCCCAAGTGTTCCAATCTAGTTGGTTCCCCAATCACGGGACGCTTGGCAATAGGAACGGGGACCGGCTTTCCAAAATTGTAACAAACCCAGAATTTTCATTTAATTTCACCAAGGTCCCCGGGAGCCAGCCTTCTCCTTTCATTCTCTGCAAGTCCCGTCTAGGAAACGGATTCCCTGGAAGACAATCGGGAGCTCTCTCCACCAATTTTGCATATGCAATTAGTGCTAAGTAACCCTGATGAAGAAAGGTACCCTTCATTTTACGGCTTCTTTCCTTCCATTCGGACTGAGCGAAGGAGCAGAGCAGGGAAAGAGTAAAAGCCACTTTGGAAGGGACCGGGCTGCGAAGAATGGCCGAGGCCGACACATACCAGACGCCGGAGTGCGGCACTAGATGCTATGCTAGGGTTTCCCCTTATCCCCGCCTCCTTTGTTAAGCTCGACCCACTTTAGGGCGGGACCTT